CGGGAACGCCGGGAACACCGGGAACACCGGGAGGGGGACAGACCCCGGGGGGGGGACACCCCGGGGCGCCCCTGACCCTGGGAATCGCCCCGGCACAGCGGCGCCGACCTGCTGGCCCTGAACTCCGACGGGAACATGCCCTACGACCTGTGCGAGGACGAGGCCACGCTGGATTTCCTGGAGAGCGCCATGGCCGAGCAGGGTGAGCGGGAAAACCGGGAATGACAGCGGGAATGACGGCACGGGGGGGTCACCGGGGTGGCTCTGCCACTCGTCCCCTTCCCACCAGGGATCACCCAGGAGAGGATCGAGGAGGCCCGGGCCGCCACGGAGCGCTCCATGATCCGGGAGATCCGCGAGCTGGCGCGGGCGGGCGCCGACCTGGACACGCCGCGGGGACACGGGGCCACCCTGGTGAGAGCCTTAAACCCCAGTGGGGTTTATTTTTCTGATATTTGTAAGGCTTGTAAGTTTTATTGGTAGGTTTTAAAAGCAGCAACCCCCTGTCCCTCCTTTGTCCCTTGTCCCTTTCCCTTTCTCTCTAACACCCCTGTTCACACATTCCTCAACCCTCTCACCCCATTCTGTGCTCCCCAGATCACTCATAGCCCCAAATCCAATAGAAATGTTTAGGCTGATGCCTTAAACCCCCAATGCTTTTTATTTTTCTAATATTTGTAAGACTTATAAGTTTTATTGGTAGGTTTTAAAAGCAGCAACTCCCCCCCTTGTCCCTTGTCCCTTTCCCTCTCTCCAACCCCCCTGTTCACACATTCCTTACCCCTCTCACCCCATTCTGTGCTCCCCAGATCACTCATAGCCCCAAATCCAATAGAAATGTTTAGTCTCTTGTCAAGGCAAGGCCCAGACTGTTGGCAGAGCAGCACATCAGGGCCCAAACCACAGAACAGGTCAGGAATTAGGTAACTGTGGACCCTCTGTGCTCTGATGAGGAGGAAGGTGGGATGAACAGAAGGTCCCAAAACAACCCCAGCCCCATTTTCAGGGGGTGGACCAGAGTAAAGGCCACAGGGTGGGCACATCTGGGATTGGATGGAGGGTGATATAAAATGAAACCTCTCGGGCACAGGAGCACATCTTGGAACATCTTAGCCCTGGCAAAACAAACCCTTTCTTGCCTCACCCCTAATTAACCGCTCCGGAGATTTTTTTCAG